ATGGAAGATTGAAAGATTCTGGTCATTTGCATCAGTCGAAGACATAACAGGCTGAACACATATTGTAAGACATGCATTGTTGATCATTAACGGCTATCACAAAAGGATGACCTATCCTATCAAGATTGAGTAATATTGAATCAAGACTTACGATGGAAAAATGCAGGAGCAGACTCTGGAAGAAGAAATTCGAAAACAATCATTAAGATAATCAATCCAATAGAAGGAGCAATTCATTGTGAAGTAACCAAAGAAGTTCCTGAAAGACCTTATTTGAAAAGTAGTTAAAAAGGGTTAAATGGAAGATGAAAGTTAAATGTGGTATACTATTCAACTGCTAAGATCTCATATCAAATCAAAAAGTTTGGATAATAATAGATAACCCTAGCAGTCTAAATATGGTACAATGTTCGCACCAAAATACAAACAATTCAATATTCCCATAATGGTAACACATCCCAACTCTTTGATAATATAAAAATACAAGTTCAGGATAGATTCTTGCAAACATCACTACCTGGGTAGAGCAGAGGTACTGATATAATAGTATCTTACAGGTAAAATTAAGTAGGTTTATAAGATATGAGATTAGATAGCACTAAAATTATTTATATGAATTACTTATGTAATCATATGTACTATCCAATCTAACTTTAATAAACTACTGTCAGTTATGATTATTAAAATAAATAAATAAATAAATAAATAGTCAATGTAATATTATAAATATTTATTTACTTTTTTTACTAATTCTTTGACTATACACAAAAAAAACATTTCAAGAAGTTTTTATACTTCTAAACTAATAAAATCTTATTACTTTCCTTAAAACAACTTGAAAAAACTTCAAGAGTCATCAATACTTTTTTCTTCTTGCTTATCATTTTCTTTAAACAAAAACTTGACTTCTAATGATCACAAAAATTGAAAAAAACTTTTTTTTACCAATAGTAAAAAAGTTTTTAAAGGAAGAAAAACTAATGTACTATTATTTCACACTATAGAAAAATACCATAGAAGTATGTCTATTGATAAGAGACAACTTTTTCACTTTTTTGTCATCTATAATACTTTCATAATACTTGTTCTTGATTTTTTCTGAGAAAATTTACCTACTTCAGTTTGATTTTAAATTTTGAGTAGTACAAAGTTTCTTATATCATGATCAGCCAGATAGAGCTCATATTAGTAAAAAAAAATGTAAACAAGCTTTTATTAATTATTTTATATATTTAAATATATTTTTTTGGTTTTATAAGAATCTGGGTCCATTATAAGTCATTGAGCTGATGCAGATAAATACAGAATACTTCTTTATTTACATTATTGGCTTCTTTAAGAAAAAGTCCATTTGATTATAATAAAGGTTACAATATACTATAACTAGATTTTATAGTTATAGTTATCTATTTCTGATTACTAAATAAGTTTTTTCTCCAGCTCTGTTGAATAGGTAAAGATTTGAAACACAGTTTTGATAGCAAATATGTTCTTGATCAAAGAAATCCCTGAAGAGTAACCAGTCTATAAAATTAAAGTGATAATAATAGTATAAAATTTTAATAACTTATAATAAATATAGTTTCAATATAAATAATAAGATCCAAGAAAAATATGGAAAGATTCTGAAAACTGCAAGAATCTTTTATATAGTCAACAACTTTTAAATAAATGATAATAAATCAGTTTTGATTACTATTAACAATTCTAATTGTCATTTAGAAGAAATGAAAGCAGATATTGAATAAGAAATAGTTAAAGAACTCAATAGAACAGAATAAATCAGATTCTTAAAAATCTGGATAGACAATCAAAAAAAGTCAATTGAGCTTAAAGAATGAGTACTTAAAGAAGTCAATATAATAACAAGAATCCTTAAATATAAAAAGGTAACAGACAAACAAGTCCTTTATATTCTGAATAGAGTATTAATATCTAAAATAAAATTTAGAATGCAACATAACATATTGTTCTAGAAAATATGCAAATTGACAATAGTATATAGAAAACTTTTTAAGAATAAGAGTAATTTATGCATATCTATACTCAACAGCATAATTTATTATCCAAAGATTTATAACTTGAAAAGTATCTAAATGCTACAAAGAAAAAGTCAAGTAATAGAACTTTGTAATAGACCAAATGATCCCAAGCTAACTAGAATTACAACAATAATTAGACTTAAACAAGTACAAATCAAATATTAAAAACCACTTAATTTATTAATCTGCAAATTCTTAAGCCATTTAATAGATAAAAGTAACTTTCTATTTCAAGTAATCAAAATTGCTAAAGATATAGAAATAATATTTCATAATTAGAAATGGCAAGATATCTTTAAATAAAAAAAGGAAAACAGTTGAATTGAAGAATATCTTATATTAAAAGAATATAAAAAGTTATACCATTACTTAGAAACAATCAACTGATATATTTGGATCAGCTAATTGATTAAAAAGTCAAAAAAATAAGAAATTGGTAAATGCTTCAGCTTCTGCAAGATACAAGCAAAGGATCTATATCAGAATAGTTTCAAATTATAGTCAAAAATCTCTTAGGAGAACTACTAAAGCACCTTATATGATTCTGAAAAAAAAACTATATAAAATGGAAACTGAAATACTTCAAAATAAAATCTAATAGAGACAAGTGAAAAATTGTGAATAGTAATAAGAAGTAGAAAAAATTAAGTAACTTGAGAAAAATTAAAATAAGAAAAAGAGGAAAATGTTATAATAGTGAAGTATTTTATTAGTTGTAGTAGCAACAATAATTAGAAGACTAATAAATAAAATGCCTAGGATATTCAGAAGATACAACACTAAATAGTGATAGCATTATAGAAAGAGGAATAGGAGAAATATACATAGTATCATATCTTGATATAAGAAAGTCCATCAGAAGAACATGAGATTTAAAAATTCCAATTTTAAGTCAGCACTCGAAAAAAAAATTAAAAAAGTGATTTACAGTAATCAAAGCTCTTTCAAGATTCAAAACAATAGAATAAATATTAGAGAAGGAGTATATCCAGATTATCTAATAAATATATTTTAATGTAACCTTGGATTTAAAGAAAAATCAATCTTATATTCTGATAAATTACTTAGTAATTATAATAAAAAAAAAATAAAATAGAAACAACTTGGATTCAGATAGAAAAAAAAAAAAAGAAAAGCAAGTTTTAAATAGAAATAAATCATTGGTCCTCATTTACAAGAGCTGAATTGATAACAATTATAATAATACTTTCGATAGCTTTAATTGAAAGTATAATGTAGATTTTTATAAATAATCAGGTATATATTTTCAAGTGGAAATCTTTAGAAAAAGAAAACTCAAGAAGAATATACAAGAGATGACTTAAAGAAAAAAATTGGCTCCTCTGAATATACATGGTAGAACTAAAAGTTAAGGCATACTTAAATGATCTTTATAATGAAGAAACAAATATTTTAACTAAGAAAGTCCTAAAATTTTTATCAATTAAATGAAAAGATCTCACTTTACATAAAATTATTATTGAAATCAAGTAGTAAGGAACAATTCTAAATGATTCAATTAGATAGTTTATTAAAAATATTAATAATAAAACAACAGCCTATTAGTGGATACAGTAAAATAAAATAAAGAAAAAATGAAGTCATTAGATTTTAGAACACTGGGTTCATATATGAAATCTAATATAAAAAAAATTAAAGATAGATACATATGGAATATAATCCCAACAAAGATGCTTTTTTATTAAACTGATCAATAATAAGCTATTCACTTTAAGTAAGTTACCTGTAAGAAAACCAAACCTATACAAGTAAGTGAAATGTATTGTACATAGTCAATAAGATGAAACTATAAAATATTTGCTAGAATGTTTAGTTCATAAGAATTAGCTACGAGGAATTGGAATAAAAAAGTAGATAAAATTATTTTGAAACTTTAAAAAGCTAATATGGGAAAGAAAAAGAGAAATCAAAGAGAAAATTCTAGGCTAATCATTGATAATCAAGAAGAAATAGAAGAGTTTGACAAGTGAATTTCTAAAGTAGTGAAATAGACTTTTAAAACTAATCAAAATATACTAAGTTTCTATACTAACTTTATAAGAACTGATCTTATTTTAAAAATAGCAGATCTAAAATGTCAAGGTAAATATATATAAAAAATAGCAAGAAAGTGAATAATAAAAATATAAAAAAGAGTTTGCAACCAAGTTCAAAAAGAAGTTTGAAACAAGGGATGTGAAAAAATAATTGAATAAAAACAAATATAAGAAATTATTAAAGAAAACAAGACAAAAAGACCTTTATGTCTTTCAGGTCAGAAAACTATACCTCTGAAGAAAAGAAATCTACCATCTGAAGAAAGAAATCTTGAAGACAGAAGTCTCTGAGAAATTTTAACAAGAAAAGTGAAGTATAAAATAAAATAGTTGGATTTTAAGCTCTATCAAAATCTCACAAAGTAATCTGCAGTAATGACCTGTAAACAATGAAGTTAATAGTTGAAAAGGTCTTTATCTGAACTATTAACAGAATGATAAATTACTTCCAAAGTTACACTTGGAATTTTAATAATTCTTAAAATAGAGATAAGTAAGTTAGATAGAGACTTAGCTTTAGCAATATATTTTTTAATATAAAGTATACATATGTTTAATAAAGCACACATACCTATCCTGACAGAGGGTTTTAAAAAAAAAATAATAAATATAGTTACAAGTGTTATAAAATTAAAAGTTTTAAAATATTGTCTCTTAAGTTATACTTAGAGACTTTATGATTTTCTCAATATACAATACGTATATATAGAATACCTAGATGCTATTTGTTATGCTAATTAGAGTTAAGTAACAAAAATAGAAAGTGATATGCAAATGCAACAGTTCTAGATTGTTAAAACCACACGGCTTCATAAATTTTGGAGAGCGAGTCATATTTTCATACCATCTTTATTTAATCAGGTGTGCATTGATCTTGCACCTACAATACCTTCTCACTAAAATGGTTGACAGGAAGAGAACGCACTATGATTCAAGTGCAAGCTACGGCCCACCTCCGAAGAAGCCTAATAATACGAGTGAAAGTTTGCAAAATGAGCAGGGGGCGAGTTCAGGTGGTTTAAGCGATTATCGGGCTTACACCAGTATTAATATTTCCGAACCGGAATGGCTCGAGGTCAGATACGTTTTTCTGCTGCTCAGATCTGTAGAAATGCATTTGAGCACACATCCATCTTTATAACTCTTTGTTGTGGTTTAGAAATATCCCAAGGACGCGTTATTTAGCGCAATGAGGGAATACAAAGGTCAAGCGATAAAATATCTAGATTTAAATAAAGAGCTTCTTGAAAAAGATGAGGAGTATAAGAAAAAGTTGATCTTAGTATACCAAGTACGTATAGTTGGCAGATCTAAATTTAAGGTTAGGCAGTGGTTTAATTGGATTATTAATTGTTATAGCTCTTGGAATATTTGCGGAAGTTTCTCATTCGATTTTATGATGAAATTAACCCGGGTAATGGAATAAGTTCTACGGATGGTAGTTAATTTTATCGCTGCTTCTACTCATAACATAGTTGTCACCATTTATATTTTGAACAATCATTTTAAACCAAAGTTCACTTTAACGGTCCTTATTTGAATCGGACGGATGATACTTTACGCGAGAATGAATCTTTGGAGTCCACAAGGCGAATTGTCTCCGCAATTGTAGATAAGATGACCAATTGGTTCCGCGAACGTGATGAATTCTTGAAAGATATGAAAAATGATGATAATGATTCCTGCCTGGCCGAAATATACTATAAGGAGATAGAAAAGTTTGATAATATGTATTCAGAAATAATTGAAAAGATCGAATCACACGAAAATAGATTTGCCGAGGTACAAAAAATCGTAGAATTACGAATAATACATTGCAGATGTAGTTATTTGATTTTGATTTTATTTTATTGAACACAAATTTTTCATTGATTATAAGGTTCATTCTCTTATACGTGAATTAGAAATTACCAGAGCCAGTCTCGAACTGACTTCTCGAAATCTTGAAAACACTCAAGACAAACTGGAGCAACTGGAAAAGAATGTGGACAGATCTAACATTTTTGTGATAGATCCATTTTTGCATCTTGGAAGGAAATCTGATAACAAATCGGTAGGAATTGATTCAAAAGGATGATTTATTAATTGAGTTTATATTATAACAATTCGTAGTATTTGTGATGCACCAAAAACAGGGCAATTCTGCGAGCAAGTCAATGTCAGAGAAATTGGAGTTGATAGAATTAAGAGCAATAGCCGAATCTCGAGTAAAAGAACTCAATGATACTCAGGCCGAAAAAGTCGAATTGAGGAGAAAGATTCACGACCTTCAAGAAAAAGTAAATATAATCATTACTTTGGTTATTGCAGAGACAATAATATACAGTCATTCACCAAAACCAATATAGATAAGGTGTCTTCCAGAAGAACGAATTAAAGAATCAGAATTGTTCAGAACCCTTCAACTCGAGCTCGATGCTATCAACGATTCATATGCACATTTATATGCTCTTTTTGAAATGAAGACTCGGGAAGCACAAACCCTGACGGCGTCAAGGGATAAGGTTGACGATTTGACGAAGGCACGTGTTCGCTTTTTTTTTTCTTGCTTTTATGTAATCATGTATTGATAGAATTTCATTAATTGAAAAATATAGTCAGAAATGAAGCGGATGGATCAGGAATTTCAAGAAGTCAAGAAAGAGTATCACAATGATTTGGAGCGTATTCGTGCAAAGAGAAATGAATTGGTTAAAGAAGTGGAATCTCTTCGAACAATGATACCCCAGGAATTTCAAAAGATTTCGTCAATAAGGTAACCTAATTTGAGGTTTGTTAGTAAATTGTTATGATAACATTGACGAAGACACATGCTCGTAAAATATTTTAGGATGCTTGCCAATGATAGAATGGAAATTATACATAATTTGAAAGAAGAAGTGCGCAGGCTATATACTAGAATTGCGGAGATTGAGAATAATAAGAATCGCAAGAGTCTTCATCTTGGAGAATTTCAAGATAATGATTTGGCTAAAAAAGCTGAAAATGTCTCTACCGAGAACCAAATAAAACTCGATCAAAAAAAGTATTTATTCTACTTTCTGCTATTTTATAAGCCTAGAAGGTTCTAAAGTATCCCTATTATTTATATTCAATTATAAGCGAGAGTCAATATAAAACGGACCTATCATATATTAAAGAATTAAACGATAGGATACGTGAACTCGAATTTATGAACGAAATTTATAGACAAGTATATATATATTTTTAAATTAAATGTGGTAATTTTATGAAGCTCTTCTGTTCCAAAGACTAAAAACAGCTTATGATTTACAGTATGAAAAAACACAATCTTCCGAGATTGAAATGTTGTTTTCACAACAGAAGAGAAGAGATGATGATACTCATATTTCTGTATTTGATACTCAAGACCAGAGAATCGAACCTTTGAAACAATCGGTAATCACATCTTACGATTTATTAAAAAAAATTTTTGGTTATTTATGAATCATATTAATAATTGTATTTATTATTTGTCAGCTCATAAAATTCCAGCAAAAGCTCACTGAAAAAACAGATGAAAATTTAAAAATTCAAAATGAAATAACTTCTATGAATATTGTTGTATCGCAACAACATGAGCAACTTGGCACACAGAAGAATGAATTAAATTCAACAAAGTCTCAACTAGTAGGTGGAGTTAACTTTATTTATTTATTTATTATTGTTATTATTATTCATTAAATCCAACCTTAATGATTGTGGCTAAAGGAAAAATATAGTAAAGATTCCGCTGGTGCACTCCAATCTTTAGTCATGATTAAGCAAAAGTTGGTGCATATTGATAATGAAATTAAAGTAGAACAAAAAATTTCGGAAATGTTGCGCAATGACGTTAGTAAGAAGTTTTAATTTAATAATAAGATTTTGAATTGGGTTACCTTATGTTGAATTACTGATTAAAATATTTTTTAATTAAAGAGAGATGCAAACATCAAAGAATATAGTCAAGAGTTGCGCCGACGTGACGAAGAGAAAAGAGTAGCGGAAAAGAAGTTGAGGCAAATAAAAGATCAACTGGAGGTAGCAACTAAGGAAGCTGAAGAACTTCGATCGTCTGCGGTATCATCCGACGCACAAAAATTACTTGAAGCATACGAGGTAATATATGTAACCGGACGAATTTTCAATTGTTTTTTAACATGTGTATTCAAAGCAATAATTTATCAAACAGACAAAATGGAAATGTTCAACGTGTAACACTAGGTTTAAAGATCATTGCGTTTTTATCTGCATGCATGCATTTTGCAAGCAGTGTTTGGACAAACAAGTCGAGAGTCGAAACCGTAAATGTGCTAAGTGTGGGCAGCAATTCAGCAAGACGGATATAAGACAGATATTTTTTTAATATTTCATTTATTGTCAGTTTATGACTCTGAGTCCGATTATTTCGAATTTATGAGCGTATCAAGTTTCCGCGCTTATTTTCTTGGTGAATCTTAGATGTTTACTTAAATTCCACTTTAAATGAAATAATTGTTGACCCTTCAATAAGTTATACCAACTTCGAAAGGGAGGCGTAAGGGTATTTTGGCGACTAATTTTTCTTGACTGATCTTATTAATGAAGATCATAAGATCATCAGAACACACATACTAATGTTCAGGAAACGGAGAGTAAGAATATGAGTTTGAAATTTATTTTCTCGCGTAAAATTGTAAAATTCGATGTAACTTCTGACATCACCTCCATAAATAAGTTTCTTTATCAACTTACTATAATTATTACACGCTTTTCAAGTTTCAGCTTAGGCTCCTTTTTCTATTACAGTTAGATTAAAATAGGCTTAAGTAATTTATAAACTAAGTTAGAATGTCATTCCCTAGGGTTTCAGAATGTGGATTAATCAAATTCTTAATAATTAAAAACAAATTAACATAAAAGTATTTAAAATAATTATTACATGAAAGTAAAAAAACTAATTTTATTTAATTTTTTAATCTAATAATTATAATTAATTGCAAAATATATGCTTTTTACTAATGGCAAACAAATTTTGAAAGAAAAAAGGATCGATTGTTTTATTATTAAATTTTCTTTAATAAAAAAACTTTTGATTTTTTTTTTACAATAATCCAAATCAATGATATATATTTATTATAGTACATCCATTAATTATTTTGCACAAATATATTCAACAAATATTGTATACTGTATATATATAATCTAAGTTAAACTACAATTTGTTTACTATATTTTTTTAAATTCAAATAGAAGAGTTTTATAAAATCCGAACCTTGGATTGAATCATTTCTCAAGTATTATTTAAATGTTCTACTATTTTATTTATAGACTTTTTATCTCAAATTTGATAGTTTCTTTTTATTATTGAATATTAAATTTTTAAAAAATAACTAAAAATAAATATTTAAAGTCTAATATTATATTTATAATTAAAAACTTTACAATTAAAAAAGATTTATATTCTTTTTAAACTTTAGGTTAAAAAATATAATTTTATAATTAAAAATTAAGTTTTTATAATCAAAAATCAATTAAGGATATAATATATAAATTTTAATTAATTGATTTATTGTATTTCAAAAAATTCTTAATTAATAATATATATGGTTTCTTTCAAAAGTTTGAGTCCATTTACTATGTTTTTATTATAAATTTCAACTTTGACAATTTTTAAATCATTAACTATATAGTCAAAAATTTTAAAATTTATATATATTATATTTTAATACTTATTCTATTTCTTATATTTTTTTAAAAAATTTTTTATTCATATATTCTAAAGTTTTATTATTGCTAAATATCTTTATTTTTTTATTAATTATCATATAATTATAGTAACAGCCAATCAAAATCTTTTAAAAGTAAAAATTTGATAAAGAAAAAAAATTTTTAACAATAATAAAACTTTAAAAATTATATATAAAAATTTTTTGAAAAAAATATAATAAATAAAATAGTATTAAGATATAATATATATAAATTTTATGATTATATAATTAAAGATTTAAAAATTGTCAAAATTGAAATTTATAATAAAAATATAGTAAGTGAACTCAAACTTTTAAAAGCAATTATATACAATATATAATATATATATATATCTTAAAATCTTTTGTTAGGCTAGATATACTGTATATGTTTTATTATAGAATCGTAAAAACAATATCTTTTTGTTGATTTTCAATTTCTTTAAAAATTTCCTTTTTTGATAATATTTTTTGAAAATCAAGAAGCCAGCCTTCAATATTTAGAAATATATAATCTAAAAATAACAACAGCTTGCAATCAAACTATAAAATACTATATTTTTTTATAATAACAATTATATGATAAATATTAGAGAAAAATAGTTATAGTATAGTTTTTCTTTACAGAAAGAAGAAAGCTTCAAGAAAACTGATTCACATTAAGCTTTTAAAGATCCAATTACAACTTTACAAAGTTCTCAGTCAGATTAATATAGATTAACACCTTTCTTGATATCAAGAGAAGCACTGTAGACAATAACCTCAGCTGATAAATTAATTAAAAGCTTAGATTTCATAACACCTAGAAGAATATCCAAGTTTCAATTACTCAATAGTAGAGAGTGACATAAACAATACAAAATATTTTATATCTAAAATTATATAATACAAACATATTATGTCTGCTAGTTTGAATAGCAACTTACTTATATATCTAATAAATAATTTATTTATGTATTTATACTATATACTCACATATAATAATAGCTATCAACAATACAATAGATATAAAAATAATAATATAGCTTACAATTAATTGAGCAATACCTTGTTTATATAAATAAGAGCAAATAATAAATATAAATAAACAAACAAACAAGTGCTACTCAAACAAATAAGTAATAATTATTATCTAACTTAGCAAATCTTAACAATACTCAAAACAGCAATACAATAAAATATATTAATACTTTTTTTTTTTTTTAATCCACAATAATACCACAATGGCATATCTTTATTGAAAAATTGAAAATAAATTAACAATATTTTACACATTTTCATAAAGTAACTAACTCGTCTTCATACAAAAGTACTCTAAGTTAGATTTTGGGGACAATATTTTACTCCCCTAATAGATTGATAATAACCTTTATTTATCAGAATTATTGCCAACAGTTTGTCACTATTGATTGCCTGAAAACTAATGAATTGCTAAGTTAAAAAGGGGAAAGGGGAAGAACGATTTGAGAAAGGAAACAATTCAAGGCCTACCAAAAAAATCCAAAAATAAAAATAACTTCTTCTCAAAAGAGATCTGCCTGATTGGGATAGTCTTCTTGCTTCACTTGAACCTTGGAAAAAATCTTCATTTTCATTACCTGTGGTATCAGATGAGTCAATCCAACTGGTCTTTCATTTAAGTAAGCACTGAATTGGGATATCTCAAGGAAAGCATTTAGACCTCAGCTTTTTTTCATTAAAGCTTTGTCACCACTTGAGGAACTTAGG